ATGAAGAAGCCTGGGAGAAGGCTGCTGGGAACAATCCTTCAACACCTGGAGTGCTTGGGGATCAACCTGCCGCATTGCACCTCACCTCAACTCCTGCGCCGCGTGGGAAACCGGCGCACCGCATGGTGCAACTCGACCTCACAAATTTGGTGACCCTGAAAGCCTATTCATAAGGGATCTACATTTGATGTACTGCTTCACTGCACCCTAAAGACTATAAAAAGAATGGTCTCTTTAGGGGAACTGAGTTCGGGAACTTCCTTTACTTCAGCCGGTCAATATATCGTCGAACTGGACTTCTAGGGTGTATGCAATACCCCCAAAGCTTCAATGTGACACCCTTCTGCTCTACTTTGGACCTGGCGAGATGCCCGTCGAGGCTCCAAGCCAAAGAGTTGCACTCCTTGTCGCACACCGTCGAGGCGCTACGCGAGCAGGTGCACGTGGGAGTGCCCAGGTGTGGATGGGGGGATGGAGAAAAAATGCACAACACCTAAGAGCACCAGGTATACTGTAGCACCAGGTACTTTTGGGATGGAAATTGGTCAGCACAGTCAGCACTCACTGAGTAGAGGATGTAGAGGGGTGGTTTTGTTTGACACCCCCTACTTCCAATGCATGTTCCTTCCGCCGCCCAAACTTTGTGGTGGTGCTGGCAGGATGACCATTGTCTCCTCAACATCCGGGAGGATGGTTCTCTTGGTTTGGATTTCTCATTTGATCTGATTGGTTTTTTCATCTCAGATTTGTCAGTGGGTTTGGGAGATATCCTCCAAAATTTGAGTCGTGATCGACCAGGAATCTCCCGCTTGACAGACCACTTGTTTGGAGGGCGGGGTCAGTCTTCCAAACGCCGGACTCGTAGATGCGATGTTCTCCAGAGGCATCTCAACGGTAGACTCTTGATTGATAGAACCCCCACGTCCATGGATTTTGGGGGGTTGAAATTTACACTCCCGAAAACGAACTTAGACCCTGACAATGGCCCCCTGGAAGGGTGTTTGACTCTACCAACCAGTGAATTTCAGGGTCCATGTTAGTCTTCCAAGGTGTATGAGTCTAAACGGATGTTCCTCCTTAGACCCCTGGGCGGGGCACCACACCAAACATCCGGCATCCCCACCACAGCGCGGGGCGCCCTGCGGTCTGTGGCCCTCCCCCGTGTTCGAACTAGAACGGGTCACCCCTTCTGAGGTGCGGGACGATGAACACCGAGAACTGGTGCGAAGCCAGGGCCTCCGGACGGCGATTCGCGATGCCACCGGGCCACGAATGGGTTGAATCACGAAGAACCCATCGGTTTTACGGATTCCTTGCATTACTCAACCAGGTCAAGCAAGTGTTTTACTAAATGGCTTTGGAAGTGCTAAGGGCTGTGCCTTTTTCGATTCCTCGGCGTGAAGAAGGTTGCAGAGGTCTGAAGGGGGGCGCTTTAGCGCGCTGGGTGGTCCATGTGTGCCCACAGTTCCGCTGGAGTTGAAGGTGGTTTCATGAGGATTCATGCATGGCTTCAAGCCGTTCTTTCCACTAGAAAATGGGTCCCCTCGATCGATCTTTCGAGCTGCGTGCACTTCACGGCTGCATGGCCTAAGGTTTGAGTTTGAGCCTCGGAACTTGCGTGGCATCCTCAGAGGTTGAATTCAGATGAAGACTCCAACAGCTTCAGAAGGCACATGTGCTGGTTGCATCAACTCGACATTTTCTGGTACTATGATCACAATGATTGTAAGATGCTAACATGTCTTGGATGTTTAGGAGTGTCAGCGTTCTTTCTCCACGATGTTTTTTTTCTCAATCACATGGCCCACAGCATCCTGCAGCTATCACCCACCAAAGCTCTCTCGGTCCGCTGTGGCCCCGTGGCCTCGTGGCAGGGCGAGTCGGACTTGGCGTCGGAGGAGTTGCAGCGAAGGTTGGACGCGATCACCGTCCGGGGAACCCGGCAAGAACGGTGGGCGTTTCGGCTCCCGAAAATGCGGTAAAAACCGGACTTGGCGTCCAGGTCGACCCATGAGTTGGCTGTGAAAAGGGTTGAGCCCATTTCACCCTGGTAGGTTGACCTCTCCTGTAGTTACTGATGTTAGTGTACTCTTTAGTTTGTTCTGCTCACTTTCGGCCAAAACCGCCCCCGATGCCATGATCCACATGAATTGAAACACCTCCCTCCAATGAAAGCCAGAGCTGGAACTGGGAGGGACCACGGAAGTTCCCGTTCACCACTTATAGCTGATTTGTTGGGGAAGAACCGCATGATCCTTTTTTCTGTGGTGTTCAGGTGCATGTCTTAGTGTCCCAAGCCGGGTCCAACATCATTCTAAAAATCCACTTCTGCAGGTGTGTCATGGCTTACACCCAGGTGATCCAGAATTGGCACGTCCAGGTGATCCAGCCGGTCGCGTGAAACGGTTCTTCACCTCCGAGGCCACCAGAGATGCAGCTTTGCAGAGCGCCCAGCAAGAGACCGGTGGCCCAGGATGTGGGGGCGGCCTGGTGCCCGAGACCGGCTTCCCTAGGCCTCGTTAATGGTTCTAGGTTCTTGTCACTGAAGAGCATCGAACAACCACTGTTTGACCAAGGATTGTGGACTACACATAGAAACCGGCCCAACCAACCTCCAGGGGCGCGCCCTGCGCCACCGGCGGAAGAACCTTCGGCGTGGTCACGGCCCCGCGGATCGACACCCTCGGACGGGACGAAAGGCTCGGAACCCGAACCGTCGCGAGCCGGTCTCTCGGCTGCGCGAAGGCGAGCAAGCCTCGAAGTGCTCCAGCAGCAGTCCTGGGGCTTAGAGAGCGCGAACGAGTCGAACGAGTGGAACGCGCCGTGGAATTTGGATGGGTCACAATTTAGAGTTGAGTTGCGCTGGTGAATCACACTTTTCTTTTAGACGTTGGTTCGACTCGAGCAGATATGAGTGTGCAAAATGACGGCTACTGTAGAGAACTTGAGACATGAAGTCAACAGAGTCAACTCTTGGTTTATTTTACGTTAAACATGTGCGCGTTGAGCGCAGTTTTCGCAGTGTTCGGTTCTTTCCAGCAGCCCATCCCCAAAGGAAGAACCCTGGGACACAGCGCATGAAAGCGTCTTCTGAATGGTTGGGAGATCACCGCCAGAGCCTGGGAAAAGGCTGGAGAGCAGGCTACAGACTGAGAGGAATCGAACCCAGCAGGACATCTCAAGTGCCCCAACGCACCAGCCAGCCGGTCCCCTGACTGTTTGAGGTGGCTGCCAGAGAAATCTATGAGCAATCAAAGACCTCTAACAGACTCAAAAAGGACCTCTACCAAGACCCTCGACCAGGTCACCAATTTAAGATAATTTGAGTCTGTTAGGACCCTTCCCAACCCTCTGGTAGTGGATGAACACCGAGCCCTACAGTATTTTTGGCCCACCATTGATGCAATGGTTGCTGAGCGACCATTGTCTCTCGAAGGTCTTTAGACTACACTTTACAAAACCAGGTCAACCAGGTCAACAACCATTAAATCCAGTCTTTCATGATGTTCATGACGTTTTGTCTGGAACAACGGTTCCCCCGCATGTGTTTACAAGTGAGCCTTGCTTTAAAGACCACCCTTCTTTCAATAGCCCAACGGCTTTGGCCACGATGGCCACACACCAATGGCCCCCAGTCGGAGGCTGGAAGCCATGCGCTCGGAACGCGACGAGAGCATCTTCCGCCTCAAGGCGGGACGGGACGCCCGGAGGCGGACGGGCCACATCGAAGGGGATGGCACTGGTGTGGTTGCTGACCCGCTCAAAGCGTTGGGGTTGGTTTATCCCCTCCTATTTTAAATGATTCGATGTGAAGGTTTACAAGGAACGGTCTTTCAAGGTGACTTTGGTGACTTCTTGGCTCGGATCAGCAGGCCGAGGAGCAGCGTTGGCAAGTGCGAAAGGATGAGTTGGCCTTGCCTCGGAGCCCCAGTGGTCGGATCGTCTGATGAGTTTGGGAGGGAATTCCCAACTCATCATACCATTAAGTGACCTGAACTAGGAGCCGGAACACCTGGGGTACCCCGGCCCGCCTGGGATAGTCGAAATCATTCAGGTTCTAACCCACCCCTCTTAGGTACTCCAACATCCACGGCAAGGAGCCAACAAGAGCCATTTCCCACAGCTAGTCGTAGTCGTGTTTGGAACTGGCTGGTGGATCCAAGCTTAGCCTCAACCAATCGTGACACAGAGACACGCTTGGTCCTCAACACGTGCTTCTTGGATCTTCTTGGAGGGGTCAGCATGTGACCTTACTGTAGCAGGGTCTTCTGTGAAACCCGCGCGTGTAGCTTTGGGAGTCCATATATATATATATATGCTGCAGTTTTTGGCTGGATCATTGGCAGAAGCGGCAGAAGGCCAGTCTGCCACTCACTTCCAAGCAGCACACCCCTCTACAAGTCCTCACACTCCACTCTCAACCCAAGGCAAGTGCAAACTGGAGATGGATTTGCTTTTTCCATGTCCAGATTGCACCAGTGCCAGCACCCCAAATGATCCATCATCCAACCCGCGCGCACCCGTTTCCCGGTTGCCTCACTGTGCGTGAAACCAGCTCGCATGGCGCTGCTTCTGCCGCGCGCGGATCACACGCCAGCGGCCGGCAGGAGGGGTGCTGGTTTGGGGCGGGTGCAAGGGAGAGCACTTGGTGTGGCCAATGGCCCTTGAGTATCATAGAGTAGTGATGAGTAGTGTGTTTGGTAGGCTTACCGTGCACTGAAGAATCTGGGTTCGGTGTTTTAGATTTTTGAAGTAACATGAAGTATATACGGAGATGTTCCCGCTTTCGGATGATCAATCATCAAGTCTGATGATTGGAGGCTTTTCGGGTTTGTCAAGAGTTGTGTGATGTTTTGTGCTCTCCAACTGGGCCAAAATTTCTGTGAGTTAGATGCTATTTCTGTGAGCCATCGTTGTTTCTGGGGAAAGCTCACTTGAAGTCGGCGGCTTATGAATGAAGCTGTGTCCCAGCTCAAGCAGTCAAAGAAGAGCTGCACGCCATGCTTTGTTGCGATGCCAGACCCAGTCCTGAGACAGAAGAGCTATTTGGGGCTCCAAGCTCCGGAGGATATGTCACTCGGAAACCCCATGTGGTGCTCTCTACGAAGTACCAAGGTTTCTGGCTAATCGTCTCCAAGCAGATCAAGGCAGGTCTCGAAAAGGTTGCCTGGCTTTTGCGGATCAGATTATTCTTTCCCGAACTGGGTGAATCCCCTAACCTGGTGAATTTGTTTGTTTGTTGTTTGTTTTTTCCTCCCCTGGGCTTCCGAATCACCAAATCCAAGGTTGGGTGTTCGGTTTACAATCCGAACACGGATAACGTGGAGCTATGCAACTGGGCTTTGCTGTGAAAAAAAACTTCCCTTCACAGGCGCTCTAATGCGGATTCCTTTTTGGGGCCGCTTTCTTTCTCCCAAAAAGGTGGTTTGAATGGACCCAGATATATCCCGATCGCCGATATTATTAAAAAACGCACATCTTTATGGGTTTGTGGCATCTGCTCTGAAACCACTGTTTTGTTCCATGTCCTGTCGAGCAACTCCAAGGCAAGAAAATGGAGATTGAAGGGAAGGCAGATGATCGTTGGCTTCTGAGTTTCGAGGAGAACCTTGATAAGGCCAAGGCCACCAGGGGTTTCTTGCTGCAAGTGCAGCAGGGTCTCAAGCGAGAGAAGACCTTCATGCAAGAAGCGGAGGAGAAACTGGCCGGCTACATCGATGTGCCCAAGATCGGACTTTATGCCGTGGAAAACATTCAGTTTCTGCCGGACTGCTTCCAAGGAGCCCTAGAGAAGGCCCAAGCCCAGTGGGCCACGGGCATTCGAAGAGAGGTCGAGATGGCCAGTGAAGTGTTTGAGGCCCTCCCAGGCCAAGAGCTCCCCATCAAGGATGGCTTCATCACTGGCAAGGCCAAGTGCATCTTCCCCGAGGGGTCGATCTACGTCGGGGACCTCGAGCGAAGCAGGAAGCACGGTCGGGGTCACCTGGCACCCGGAGGGGGTGAGGGGGTGAGACCGTCAGTTTGGTGGGGGTGAAAAGCCTTCTGCTTGGACCTGAAAAGTGACCTCTTTGGAGTCTCTGTTTGTGACCTCTTTAGGGACAGACTGGTAACCTCAGCCACTAGGATCTCAAGGCTGGTCACGTACTGAAGGTCCTGGTGGGGAGGATTCCTTACTTCCAGGACCTTCAAAGTGACCTCTTTGGAGTCTCTAAGTGACCTTGTGCAGACCTAAGTGACCTCATCCTGGGATATCAAAGGGTCACTTTGAAGGTCTTGGTTAGTATATTTATTATAACCGGTTCCTGGATGTTCCCCGATAGCAACTCCAAGGCAAAGAGATCTGGCCAGATGGCAGCTCCTATGAGGGCGACTTTGTCCATGAGAAAGCGCAGGGGAGAGGGCTGCTCCGCTTAGTCAACGGCGATGTCTATGAAGGCGAATTTGCGCACGACAAGAGGCATGGGAGACATGGTTCTTGCTTAGGGTCACACCCCGGAATGGGCCTTCCAGCAGAGGTTGAAGAACCCTATATGACTATCCTATAGGTACTCCTGTAGGGTCCTATAAGGTCACTTAACCTCTGCAGGTTTGGAAGACGATTTTCCTATGGTTTGCTGGTTCCATGTTCATCTTCCAGGGCCGTATCTTTCTGTTGTACGACGGCGGTGTGCAACCCAGCGAATCCCCCAAGGTCGGGCGAATCTTTGGCATGGCTTTTCCCGGCTTCCTAACCAAGAGAGGTCAAGTGACCGAACTACTAGGTTCCGGAACACCTGTGGGGTACCCTGGCCTGGGATAGTCGAACATAATTCGGGTTCTGACTCACCTCGTTGGTGCCAAGGAAAGGCCTCTACCGCTTCGCCAACGGGATGAGGGAGACGGGCTGGTCGCAATGGGATGAAGTAATCGGCCTTGGAGTGAGACGTGGTCGCGGCTACCAAAAGCTCCAGGACGGAGCGGTGGTGAAGGAGGTGACCGAGGAGGAGGCCAAGCAGTTGGTGAAAGAGAATGGTTTGCCCTCCCTGTGGTGAGCCCAGTGATTTGGAAGCTGCATGGGAAAGCTAAGGATTTTGAAAACCCTTGAAGAATGAAGGAGACTGGTTTGATCTCGCTGTGGTCAGCCCAGTGGTTGCGAAGATTTCGTACCAGGCAGCTAGACAGGCCGTTTGTTGAATCAGGCAGCTGCAAGTCAAGTCCTTTTGCTGCAAGTCAAGTCCTTTGCGGGTAGTGTTTGGAAAAGCCGTTGAAGTCATCAAAGATGCTCAACAGCAAAGCTGGCAGAGAGGCTTTGGCTTTTGGCAGAAAAGGAACCGCAAGCAATGAAGTGCTGAGGCTCTGAGTGGAATGACAAATGGCAAATGCATACAAATGCATTCTCAATTATATATTTACAGTCGTGTGAGGGGGTCACATTGACATTAGACATGGTCCGAACGGACTATACACAGCAGCATTATACAGCTACCGGGCTACTTTTCAGAAGAGTTGATGTGACTAAAGGATACTAAAGGTACGATAACAACCACCCCTGCTGCGCCAGCAGTGATTTTCACCATTAAAACACGATCAAGGATCCTCAAGGCCTCCTACAGTCGAAGCACCAGTTCAGATCACCAGATTCACCAGTGGTTTGTTGAGAGAGAGAAGCCTTGAGTCTTCCACATGAACCGTGTAGATCTCGCACTGCTCTTCCCCCAACCGCCACGGTGAGGATCCTCCGTGCCGCGGCGATCCGTGCCGCGAGTCCGAGGGTCCGATCGAGACGGCGGGACGGGACGGCGGACGGGAGAGGAACATCCGAAGAAGAGGGGCCGCATCAGTTGAAACGACGGGGTTTTCAAGCAGAAATGCACCAACAACCAAGAGAGGTAGCCAGTGACCGTCAATAGGACCCGGAAAACCTGGGGTACCCACCTCAAGATGCCAGTTCCCAAGCAGGTTTCATCCAGATGTCCTCCCTGAGGGTTGTGGAAGGCCTTGTTTTTCAGAACCAGATCGCGTTGTGCGCGTTGTGCGCCTTGGCTGGCGGGTTGTATACAACCAAAAAGTCGTCCTTGGTAGACTGCTGACTGAAGTGTTCCTGATGGTGCTCAGCTCCAAAGTATTAGGGCTATGTTGCCCTCGTGCCGCCGTGGAGAACCCAAACCCATGTCGCTGGGCCAGGAACATGTCGCATCCATTCACTCTCCCATACACTCCATGTACCAGGACCCTCCAACAGGTCTCCGAAATGGTGGCTGTTCCAGACGGAAAACGTCGCAGGTGGTGACGTGTGCTGGTATGGAAGATATGCTTACATTGACATGGACCCCGCCAAAACCACCCCCACCTGATCGGCGAACATGGTAGTCCCAAACAGGCAGCGTTTGGGTCGCGTCTTCACTGACAATGTCCGACGGATGGAGGCGACCACGTGGATCCTCACCTCCCCCCAGTCATCACCTCCTATATGCCATATAGACATGACAACGTTAAAAGAGAATTGACCTTGTTTGGTCGGGTATGTCAAGCCGCTATATGATCTATATGTAGTTCCGACTTTGACCAGTCCAGCATTGGACCATCTCGCGCGAGGTGGCACGGACCTCCAACGATTCTGTCCGAGTCTCCGTTGGAAGAGGCTCTTGCGCAACGGGTGGCAGGGGCACCGACCAGATCACTGTTGCGCCGGGATGGCGCCTTGACTGCGTCATTTGGGTCACTCTCGGTCGGCTGACTGAAGCGCTTCCAGTCGGACTAAGCTCTATAGGTCGGTGCTGGTGCTGTATGACTCAGTGCCAAAAAGACACCGCTGATTCTGGCCTTCTGCTGCCACAAAGAAGTTTCAAGGCTATTCCAAACTGCCCCTCCTCGGTCCAACATCACCAAGTTGATGTGGCATATGACTCAGCGTCGAAGCCTTCAATCCGTGAGGCTTTCCCGGCTCAGGCGGAGAAGAAAAGAACACCTTGCTTTCGCCGCTTCGCCATGTTTTCTTGTTGCCATGCCGCTGCCAGTCCAGAGACGGAAGAAGTCTTTGCTCCGAGCTTGTTGGAGGGATATGCGAGTTCCAAGGCTTCGAAAGAAGTTCAGAGCGGCTATGCTGCTCCCGCCGCATTTGGTTTTAAGGACCGGACACCGGGGATACCCCATGTAGTGCTATCCACCAAGTTCAGAGAGCATTGGACGGAAGTGTCCAAGCAAGTGAAGACAGAGCTCGAGAAGTTGGGAGTCACTGTTTACAATCCCAACGTCGACAACGAAATGATGTACGGAAAAGATGAGGGAGACGCCCGCTGGCTTCGCACGTTCCAGGACAACCTGAAGCAGGCGAGCAAAGAGCTAAAGGGTCATGCAGCCATGCATGAAATCAGGAGTACTCGAAAGGAATAACCAATTGCATCCAATTGTTTTTCAACACGAACGGAACCCCTTTAAACATATGCCGAAGGCAACATGGTCAACAAGTAAACAGGTTCCCCTGCAGTTTAGTGCGAAGGAGTAAGTTTTAATGTTTTCCTCTGTTTAAAGCTTAAGCCCCCTACCATAGAGTAGAGGAGTTAAAGAGCCTCCCGGCCCCCTCTTGGTGAGACACCCTCTCCCACCTCTGACTACCTGACCTGCACGCGTGCGGGGAAGGTCAACAGAGGGGGGTGAGGGATACTCAGCCTGAGGGGTAAGACCGCGGAGCTGCAATGGCCTCCCGGTGGCGGAAAACCGGGGCCAGGGCCAGGCCTGAACACTACGAAGGCCTGGCTTCTGGAGTGGTAGTGGAGGCCGTCATGTATGACGACAAGTGCAGGCCCCAAGGACATGCGCTCCTGATCCTAGCTGCGAAGGAGATTGATGAAGCAGAAGAAGAGGGACAAGTGTGGGGGTGCCACTTCCTAAGCATCCAGGACGACTACTACACCTGGTGGCATCAAAATGAACATGGTCCCCTGAAAGAGGGGAGACTGCATCGGATACATCTTTGCGGACGCCCTTGCAAGACTTGCGGGGTCGAGACTCCGTTCCGCCAGGTGACACACATTGATGTGTATCGGATGCTTGAAGGGGATGGCCATGAACGGTTGAGCTGGTTGACACCTGAGGGGAAAGCAACTATGCATGAGATCCTGGAGGGACATAGGCTAAGGAAGGGAGACTCCAAGAAGGATCACAAGAGCGAAGCCCGGCCCTATGGTTCAGATGGAGTTGGGCTCACCCCTGTACTTCCTGGAGCGGAAGGCCTCACTGGACTTGCAGCGGCGTTGTCGGGAGGAGGAAAGGCGCCTGACGCAGAGTCTCCAGCGTCACCTCGGGAGAGCATTTCCGGGGGGGCAGGGGAGGCAAAGCGTCGGCGTGCCAAGGAGAAAGGAGAAGAGTCGAGTTCGACCTACAGGGAGGAGTTGGACAAACGTGAGGGAGTGAAGAGCCGAGACAGTGCCCTTCGATTGAACAAGAAAAGGAGGAAGAAGAGGGGCAAGAAGGAAGGCAAAGGATCGAAGAGTAGCTCAAGTTCTTCTTCAGGCGAGGAGGTTTTTCGCGTAGCCTCTCTCCCGGAGGGGGTCGACCGTTTACGTCAAATCCATCAGGAGCAGCCAGGCCACCTGGCCAATTTGACATTGTTGAAGTATCAAGAACTTCTGGAGCGGTCGGCCGGGAGAGAGGCGGGAACAAAACATCACGAGATGTTCCCCCCATGTGCGAGGGCTTACCTCCATCAGTGGTTGGTTCCCCGGCGAAGTTCGTCACACTTCGGCATAAGAACTATGAAGGAGATGGAGACCATCATGACAGTCGTGGACCTCTTGGCAAGCAACGACATTCTGCGGGGACTCGACGTCTTGATTCAGCGGCAGAAGGCTATAGAGCTCGCAGCCGATCAGGGCAGCTGGGCACAGGCCCAATACCTCGAACTGACCCACGCGGACGAGGAGCACAGCTATTTCCGCCAAGAGCTAAAAGCTGTGCAGGCCGAGCGGAAAGCAGACCTGAAACTGCAGCAGATGGCCTGGGCCCCTCGGGGTTGGAAAGGAGAATGGAAGGGAGGCAAAGGTCAGCCAAAAGGAGACGGCGGCGGAGACGCAGTGGTGACCGATGGGACAGCCCCCTTGAACGACGTGGGAGATCCCGCAAAAGGGAAAGGCCGCGGGAAGAAAGGCCGGGGGAAATGGAAGAAGTGAAGCAAGATCAGAGGTTGCTTCCAGAGGTGCTCACCCCATTGGTGAACGAGATCATGGAAGGTGCAAGTGCTGACAGAAAGGATGTCAGGTCGCAAAGGGTGAAGGCCATCTTGGAGAGCAACTGCGGCAAAGAGCCGCTGGAGATTGCAAACATCCTGACACGGAAGTACCATGAGCTTTACAGTGAGAGTGCCCCTGATGAGATGGTTTGTGCCCCCGAAGGCTGTAGGAGTGATCACCATGTAGAGGGGCCGGAGGCCGGCCGTCATCACGGGGTGATCATTCGTTGGGTGTCGGGGGAGTGGCTGCAATGGCGCAGTGATGGAGGCATCTATGTGGGCGATGGATCCAAAAGGTTGACCGCAAGCCCGTTGGGGCAGGCAAATCGTGACCGACTGGACACCAGAGTGGCACGACGACTCTTAGAAGGTCGTCCACTCTACATTGATGAGGGTGACAGCTTGGAGATGGCTCAGAGCACGGTGGACTATTTCGGTCTGAGAGGCGGAACAGGGCAAGGACCACGGCATGGAGGGAGAGAATATTATCAGCAGGTTGAGGCGTTCCTGGAGGGAGCTATGACTACTCTTCAACTGGGGATCGTGCTCAAGGAGATGGTGAGAGTGCGACCCTCACTCCTTGGGACAGCAGTGATCCTGATGGAGCTGTGCGCAGTGGGGCCCTTGGGTAGTTCACAGCCCTTCCAGGAAGTGCTGCCATTGCCTTTGCCTGATGACACGGAGGCCGAGATTGAAGTTCGCCGGGTGCTTGAGAAGGTCAGATTGGGACAGCCGGAGGCTGGGAGCAAGGAATCCTTGGACAACTGGGTCCCAGTCGCGGGTGTGGATGCATGGGTTTGGCTCCAAGTAGTGCTGCTCAACTACATGTACATCGGGAAGGACAGGCTGCTGACGCAGACTTTGTTCCACTCCAAAACATTGCTTGAGTGCCAAGTTCCCGTGATGGAGAAGTTGAAGTGGAATGCGAGAACCTTTGGCAACTCAGGGGAATCTGTGAGGATAGGGCCTTGGCATGATGAGAGCGAACAACTTGGGGAGCTCTACACAGGGAAGGAGTGGCGGAAGTGCTACCCGCTGACGCTGAGAGCCATTGAGCCTTCAATCCCCAAAGCTGGGGAGGCTGCTCGTGTCGAGTTGGCGTCAGTGCTCCCGGAGCGCATCCGTGAGTACGCTGTCAACCCGGCGCTGGTGAGGCTGGATGACGATGAGGTGATCAATCCACGATACACTGCACCGGTTCATGTTGAAAGTCCTGCTGAATGGGACAAGATCGTGAAGTCCCTTGTGGTGGCCGGCATGTTTGAGGCAGAAGTCGAGGAGGAGACGGTGCGCCACAAGGGGAAGCCGGTGCTGAATGGAGCCTTTGGTGTCCACAAAGCATGGAAGCAAGAAGCTTCAGGGGAGTGGACAAGGTGCCTGCGATTGATCATAAATCTGATCCCGTCGAATGGTTTGCAAGGAAGATTCCCGGAGCGAGCCTCAACCCAGATGTCCTATGGGCCACTCTTTGGACAGATGATTGTCCAAGAAGGGGAGGTGTCGCTGTTCTTTGCCGAGGACCAGAAGCATTGCTTCCACATTTATCGTCCTGGCTATGCCTGGCGTGGGTACTTCACCTTGAGCCGAAAGGCATCAGCCGAGGCATTTGGGCGATCAGGACCACCGCTGAGACCTCGAGTCTGTTCAGCTCCAATGGGATGGAAGAACATTGTTGACCTGATACAGGTTGTGCATGAGGAGATGGGAGCGGTAGCTGGAGTGCCCCCAAGTCACCTCCTCAGGCTCGGCCATCCGTTACCACATGGAGACCTGCTGACCCCAAGACAGTGGTTCAGCTTCTATGTGGACAACTTTGATCAAGTGATGGTTGTGAACGAGTCGGAGGTGGGCCGATATGAGGGAAAAGCTTCTGAAGTGCAGCTGCAGCTGAGGCAAGTCTATCATGAACACACGGTGGGCCGTGATCCGAAGAAAGCCGCAGAGGGCGTGCGGTCATGGCAGACCTTGGGCGCAGAGATGCTTGAGAACCACGTGGGATCCAACCTTGGGTTCCGGCGTGCCCTGATGGGAGCCACCCTGCATTTGATTCGAACCGAGGGAAGCATGAAGGTGAGCTTGAATGAGTTCATGACAACAGTCTCAAAGCATATGCATTCGTGCCAATACAACCGGACTACTGCTTGCCTGCTTGACCAGGTATACAAGTTCATCCACAATTATGGCAAGGGAGTGATTCCACATCAGGTGATTGATGAACTCTGGCTGCTGACCATGGCGCTCCCGATGCACTGGATGAACACCCAGTGTCAATTGGATGGACGAGTGTGGGCCACAGATGCCTCAGAGGAAGGTGGTGGAGCGTGCCATTCGGTGGGGCTATCCAAAGTGGGGGATGTACGCGCGCATCTTCTCGCACTGGATAGCCACTGCCAGGGCGGAGCTTTAGCAGATGAGATCCTGGTTGTTGAATTGTTCGGAGGGGCCGGAGGGCTCTCGAAGGCTTTGCAATTGCTAGGGGTGGTCCCCATGGGACTCATTTTTGTCGACCTCAACCCGAAGGCCAGAAAACTTCAGAAAGGGCATCACCCACACAGTATGTTCTACAGCGACATCAAAGAGATCACCCGGGAGGATGTACTGAGGTGGAAAAGGACTTTCTGCCGAGCTCGACGGGTCCTAGTCTGCGGGGGCTGGCCATGCGTTGAGCAAAGCCGCTTGAAGAGCCAGCGCGAAGGTGCAGACAGCGAAATGGGGAGGCTGCTTGATGACATGCTGCAGATTGCGGGATGGCTGAAAGAAGCAGGTGAGCTCCCAAATGAACGGCCATGGAGTGTGATTGAACTATACGAGAACGTTTTCTTTGATGCCGCTGACGCGCGGATTGTCGGAGCGAAGATGCAAATGAGGCCTTTGAAGACGTGGGCGCATGAAGTTGGGTGGACGCGTCGTCCGAGGCAATTCTGGCTAAGAGGCTTGGCACTGATATCAGGGAAAGACCTCACCATAGAAGAAAAGAGCGTTGGTGAGGAGGATGCCCATGCAGAAGTGCACTTTGAAGCATGTTGGCCTG